TTTTTTAATATGAAATTTGTCAAATTGGTTTCCATACAACACCCTGTTGGGTAATTGTGTGAAAATTGTATGAAACCCCTCTGCTCTTCTTATGGTCCCTGAAATTGTTCATTTTGGGTCGCTTTGGTTATGCAAAAACCTCACATTTATTGAGCGCTTACTGTGTATGCCAAGTGGTCTGTGTTACAATACCTCTTTCAAGCCTCACATTTAAGTCCCATTTTACAGATGAGGATACTGAGGCATAGAGCAGTGAAAACACCTGACCAAGTTCACACAGGAAGCAAGTCCCCAGACTGGCCCACCCTGGACCTGAACTCCAGGCTCCTGATCAGTCTCCTGCAGGGATCCCCCGCCCCAGGACCGGAGGACTGGGGGTCTGCCGTGGCCTGGGCCAGCAGCTGGAGGTCCTTTACAGCTGGCTGGCGAGGGCCACACCCAGTGTCAGTATGAGTTGCCCTGCCCCGAGACTGACAAAAGACAGATCAACAAGGAGAAAAACAGTGATGAGTAAGCCCTCAGTGTGGTTAGAACTGGGGGCTTCTTTAGCACGTTAGGCAAGAACAATACATTTGTGGAGAAGTGACAAAACAAATGGGAAGGTAAATATCTGGGGGAAACAAATGGAATAAGGTTTGTTTAGGCAGGTCCATCTCAGCACCACCTTTCTGTCATCTTGGAGGCCAGAAGCCTTCCCTGGGAGAGGGACTCATGGCTGTCTTCATTTCCCAGGAACTTCGGCTTCTGGTCAGATAAGGGAAACTCCTGGAAGGCTTCCTTCTGCATCCTCCGGCCCCAAATAATCCTATGCCAGTGTGGCATATTCGGGGGTGGCATTTACACCTGCTTTAGGGCAGCTGTTCAGACGGTTCTCCGTGCCTGAGTCCTCAGTCCCCCACCCTGGGAATCTCGCTGCTCCCTCTGGTCTAGGGCAGGAATGGACCCCAGGGGCTCAGGGTGGTGAAGGGCCCTGTTTTGCTCACAGACATCTGAGCCCCAGTCCTGGTGCTGCCCCTTAGCAGCTGTGTGACTGTGACCAAGATGCCTGACCCTTCTGAGACTCCAGGTTCTTCAGCTGTTGCATGGAGATGAGACTAAATGAGAAACAGGGGGTGAGGTTAGCTTGGGGGGAGATGGGGCTAATTACCCCAGGCACGAGTCTGTCTACTATCCCTACCATACGGCGAGCATCCAATCCGTGTTGGCCAAAAGATGCAGGAGAAACTTGAGCCCTAGGGTTCAGGGCAGGGACCAGGCACAGCCGTCTCCCTCCCCACCCCGACTCCCAGCCAGAGCCCCACTGGGGCCATCAGGAGTCAGCTGGGGCTGGGGCTCCTCTGTAACCTGGTCTCTGAACAGGCAGCTGGCTCCTGCCCCAGCGGTTGCAGGTAGAGAGAGCCCTGGGTGTTGTAGCCAAAACCACAGTGCTGCTGTGGAAGTCCGTGTGCTCACCTTGCCTAAGAGGCTCCCGTCCTGGAGGCCAAGGGAGCTGCTGTTTCCCAGCATTTCCTGCTCGGTGGCTGCTCCAAGGCAGGAAGCTGTAAGCCCCTCAGTCCTCTTCCTGTTCTTTCTTTCTGTCCCTCTTACCGCGAGACGCCTGCTCTTTGTTCAGTCCTCAAAACCATCCTAGGGTTGACGGAGGTTTTACTACTGTTCCTGTCCTGCAGATGGGAAAATGGGCCCGGAGGCTAAGTAACTCATCCCAATCCTAAAGCCGGTGATGGCAGAGCAGGGACTCCAATGCTGGGAGCCCGGCTTCACGTTTCCTCCCCGTCCTGCCAAAGGGACTGCCTGCTGCTGCCCTTTCCAGCTTTGTTCGGTTTCACATTACCATCCGCTTAATTAGAGGATTCAGTTCTATTAACAGCCTGGGGGGTGCCTGGGTGGCTCAGTTGGTTGAACGTCCGGTCTTTGACCAGCTCAGGTCAGGATCTCACAGTTCATGAGTGCGAGCCCCGTGTCGGGCTCTGAGCTGACAGCCTGCTTGAGATTCTCCCCCTCTCTCTGCACCTCCCCAATTCACACGATCTCTGACTCTCTCAAAATAAATACATAAAGTTAAAAAAAAAAAAGAAAAAAAAAAAAGAGTAACAGCCTGGTATGGTCTGGGTGACCCTGGGTGAGTCGTGGAACCTCTCAGAACCTTGGTTGCCTTGTCTGTGAAATGAGGGGCAGGGGCTCAAATGTAGATGGAGCATTCTCCAGGTGTGTTAAAACACAAATGATGTGGTACCACCACCCAGACTTTGTGATTTCAGTAGGTCTGGAGTGGGACTAATTTGTATTTCTTTTAGTATTTTTTTAAAATGTTTATTTATTTTTGAGGGGGAGAGTGAGCAGGGGAGGGACAGAGAGAGAGGGAGACACAGAATCTGAAGCAGGCTCCAGGCTCTGAGCTGTCCGCACAGAGCCCGACGTGGGGCTCGAACTCACAAACTGCGAGATCATGACCCGAGCCAAAGTCAGACACTTAACCGACCGAGCCACCCAGGCGCCCCAATTTGTATTTCTAAAAAATTCTCACATGTTGCTGCTGTTGTTCTGGGGACCACACTTTTAGAAGCATTTTCTAGATGCCCTCACTTCCCTTCTGATTATACCTCTGTTATGTTCTGCTTCTTGCTTGAAGAGGTAGGGTCTTTCTTACTCCTCAGCAATCCTGAAAGGATCCTGGAAGGACTGGCCTGAGGTTTGGCCAGCAGAGAGAATCCTCCAACTCACGTACATATGTGCATGTGTGTGCATGTGTGTGTGTGTGTGTTGGGGGGAGGAGGGTGACACACAATAAAATAAAGGCCTTGGGGGAGGTGGGTCTCTGGACAGGTCGGTGAATGGGCTGAGTACAGAGCTAAGGCTTATCTAACCTTTCCTTCTTAATTTTTTATTCTTCCCATCTTAATTTCTTAGTTCTCCCCACCTTCCAACCAACAGCACGTCAGGGCTGACTATTTTGGGAAATGGCTCACAGGGCGTAGTTCTGGCTCTTAAACCCCCCTTTTCCCCTGAGTGATACAAAGGAAAACTGCTCCTCTAGATAAGGGAAAGGGCATTGGGCAGGCCTGCCTCCAAGGAACAGCCCCAGGGCGGGAATCTGGACAGGACCAGCGTCCTGGAGAGAGCGAGGTGGACTGCTGGCTCATGAGTGTGGGGGCATCTGTAGGCTGTGGGGGGAACCAGGTCTTTGCAATCTTGGCTTTAGGCTCTAAGCTCACAGCTTTGGTTGTGTGTTTTAACTGTGACAAAATACACATAACACCTGCCATTTTAACCACTTTTAAGTGTACGTTTTGGTGGCATTAAATACATTCACGTAGCTGTATAACCATCACCATCCAT